TTTAGCCTAATATTATACTTTACTCATACCATATCTATATATGGGTTGTAAAATCTCAAAACCTTAAAAAAAAATGTCCATTTTAAAGAAAACAGCTCTAGGGGGCATCCACCAATATGATTTTTTTTTTTTTTTTTATACCTTAGAAAAGATTAGAGGGAGTGAAGGAGAGGAAGCATCTTTTCATATAGTCAAATTAATTAAAGACTTTGCTAACAAGAATAAGACTTTTCTCTTCCTAGTGTTGACTTGGAGAGGAGAAGTGGAGAGGTTTACGGCTGTCAATGGACTCTGAAAATCCGATACCCAATCAACATTAGATACAACGTTTGTTTGGCATCGTTGCCATTGCTTAGAAAACAGTGTCACATCAGCGCTATGTCAGAAAAAAACGGTGCTCTAGGAAACAGACGTTTGTTTGAAACCGTTTTTCCATAAAAATGGTGCTCCAAGCCATGCCTTGAAAATCGGGAAGGCATCGCTTGGAGAAATGTCAAATTTGGCGTTTCCTGGAGCTGCAGCTGCAGCTCCTTACTGCCAACAGGGATGCGAGATGGCAGTGATGCATGTGGCACTGGATAGTGGATAACAGTGCGTGAAGCATTGGTATCAAACAAAAAAAATTATTGTTGCTCTAAGAAACGTCCTACTATACATAGCAGAAATGATTCCAAACAAAAAAAAAAAAAAGACACCATTTTTTTTCTCAGCTTCCAATCAGTCAGCAGCAGAATCTGTAGCTCCGATGCCAAATATATACACAATTACTCTACTATGGATGTTAATAACAGTATCTGTTTAGCAATCAGACTATATTTATATATGTAAAAGTTAAAAAATAATATTTTCTTTTATATTTTAATTATAAAATATAATTATGGGAGTAATTATATTATGGGAGCAATCTTGTGGGGGCTGATTTTGATCTCTATTCCTGGTGGAATAACATTCCCTTATTTGAGGGAATAGCCAATGAGAATTCATTCCAGCTAATTCAGATTTCAATTCGGATTTCAATCTGAACCACACAGGTGAGGGGGCTAGACCTTTCCGGTTGTGAACGAAATGGTCCCTGAGTTGCTCTTTTGATGGGTAACATGGGTTGATTAATTTGAGGATCTTTATGTAGATTTTGAAATTTCGGACTTAATGCACGTAAATTCTGTAATTTCTAGATGATATGAAGAATTTTCAACATTATTTCAAACAGAATATATGCTATCTTGATTCAGCATAACATATTATATATTATATATATGGATCATAAAACACTACATTAAAGGAGAAATTGCAACATTAAGAAAAGGAAAGGCTTGGAGGAGGAGTGGGTGTATCCACGGTTCCTTCTAACATCAAGATCACATTCTTCATTGAAGGACGAAGAGCCGGTTCATCTTGAATACACCACAGTGCAACCTTAACCATTTTCTCAAGTTTGTTCATGTCTACCTCTTCATCATCATCGTCCACAAGCTTATCCAACTCCTTAGCTACAAAGCACTTATAAACCCAACTAGAAAGAATTATCTCATCTGTTGTTGAGACGTTCACCTCCATATTGCTTCTGCGACATATAATCTCTAACAGCACAACCCCAAAGCTATAAACATCAGCCTTTACCGTTATGAGGATATTGTTTTGCCATTCTGGTGCCAAGTATCCTCCAGTCCCTCTGACTCGGGTGAAGCTTCTCGTCTGATTCGGCATCAATAGCTTTGCCAACCCAAAATCCGAGATCTTAGCCGTCCAAAATTCATCCATCAGTATATTTTGGGGCTTTATGTCACAATGGATGATGTGGGTCTCACACTCCTCGTGTAGGTAGAGAATGCCTCTTGCTATGTCCAGTGCTATTCTTAATCTTTCTTTCCAAATGAGGTGTTCTTCAACCTTGAAGAGAAGCTGAGATAGTGAGCCATTACTCATGTATTCATAAACCAGAAGCCTCTTAGAGCCCTCAAYGCAGAAGCCCAGCAACCGAACCAAGTTCCTGTGAGTATAAATAGTGGGTGTAGTAACCACATGACAAAAAATGAAAGCATCTTTTGTAGTCTTGATAAAGTCAAGACAAAAGTCAAAATTGGTAATGGCAACTTAATGGAAGCAACGGGCAAAGGCACCATTGTCATTGAAACCAGACAAGGCACGAAATACATCAATGATGTACTCTTGGTCCCCAACATTGATCAAAACCTATTCAATGTAGGTCAAATGATGGAGAAATGATACTCTTTACATTTTGAGGGAGATTCTTGCACAATCTACAACAAGCAAGACAGATCCCTTGAAATTGCAAAAATAAAAATGAAAGAAAACAGATGTTTTTCCATACAATGGAGATACGCAAGCAATGTAGCAATGCAAGCACAAGTGGACGAGTCGTGGCTATGGCATAGAAGGTTTGGACATTTCAATTTCAATGTGTTAAAGATCCTTCAGCAAAAGAACATGATGCGAGACCTACCAGCAATCAAGGAGCTCAACAATGCCTGTGAAGGATGTATGCTCGAGAAACAACATCACAACCTTTCCCATCCAGAAAAGCTTGGAGAGCCAAAGAGCCACTAGAGTTAATCCATACAGACATTTGTGGTCCAATGCGTACTCCATCAAATGATCAAAACAGGTACTTCATTCTCTTCATCGATGACTATACTAGAATGACATGGGTTTACTTTTTAAGAGATAAATCACAAGTCTTCGATATTTTTAAGAAATTCAAAACCCGTGTCGAGAAGCAAAGTGGTCACAACATCAAGACGATAAGAAGTGACAGAGGCAAAGAATACACTTCTAATGAATTCAACAAGTTTTGTGATGATGAAGGCATGGAGCACCAACTCACAGTCGAATACGCACCAAAACAAAATGGAGTATCCGAAAGAAAAAAACAGAACAGTTATGGAGACAGCAAGAGCCATACTCATGGAGAAGGGTCTTCCAAAAACTTTTTAGGCAGAGGCACTAAGCACTGCAGTCTATTCGCTCAACAGATGTCCAACCAAAGTTGTGCAAGAAAAGACATCGATTGAAGCTTGGAGTGGGCAAAAGCCATCAGCAAAGCATCTCAGAGTTTTTGGCTGCATATGCTACACTCACATTCCACAAGAGAAAAGAGGCAAGCTGGACCAGAAGACTGAGAAAAGAATCTTCTTAGGCTATAGCACTCAATCAAAAGGCTATTGAGTCTAAAGCTTAAGAACAAAGAAGCTCATAATCAGTCGAGACGTAAGATTCGATGAAGATGCTACATACAATTGGGAGACAGAAGAAGTTAAAATAAAGAGTATCAACATGCCCCTATTACCAAAACAAGAATTTGAAGAAGGCTGCAATCAAACTGGATTGCCAACTCAACCAACAACACAATTAGATCCAGTACAAACCTCAGAATCTCCTCCAAACTCGCCAAGATGAACTAAATCCTTAACAGAGATATACGAGACATGCAACTTGATGCTTATGGAGCCAGAAAGCTTTGAAGAAGCTTTTAAGAAAGAAGTATGGAGAATAGCTATGGACGAAGAGATAAAGATGATCGAGAAAAATGAGACATGGGAGCTTGTACATCGTCCACAAAACAAACACACTATAGGAGTTAAGTGGGTTTACAAGACAAAGCTTAACTCAAATGGCTCAATCCAGAAGCATAAAGCAAGGTTATTTGCCAAAGGATACTCACAACAATATGGTGTCGACTACAATGAGTCATTTGCTCCAGTTGCACGCCTTGACACAATCAGGGCATTGATTGCACTAGCTGCATAGAAAAAATGGAAGATTTTCCAACTAGATATAAAGTCAACATTCCTCAATGGCTACCTTAAGTAAGAAATCTATGTGGAGCAACCTCAAGGGTTTATGGTGCAATGACAAGAAGATAAAGTTCTTAGATTAAAGAAGGCATTATATGGCTTAAAGCAAGCTTCGAGAGCCTGGTACAGTAGAATCGACAACTACTTCACTGAGCAAGGATTCAGGAGGAGCAGAAGTGAGCCAACACTCTACATCAAGACTCAAGGTATAAATGACACACTTATTGTCTCTTTATATGTCGATGATCTCATTTACACATGAAATAATGAGAAGATGATCAAGAAATTTAAAAAAGACATGATGAAGACTTTGGAGATGACCGATTTGGGTTTAATGCACTACTTTCTTGGGATCGAAATAATTCAAGAAGAATATGGGATCTACATCTCACAAAAAAAAATATACAGAGACTCTCTTGAAGAAATTCAAAATGGAAGGCTGCAAGACAGTATCAACTCCATTAGACAACAATAAAGTCTTCAAGAAAGAAGGCTCACCAAAAGCAGATGAATCACAATTTCGAAGTTTAATTGGAAGCTTACTCTATTTAAAAGCTACAAGACCAGACATCATGTATGCAGTTAATCTGCTATCAAGATTCATGCAGAGTCCAAGTCAAGTTCACTATGGAACAGCTAAGAGAGTACTTAGATACTTGCAAGGAACAAAGAACTACGGAATATGGTACGGAATCACGCATGACTCAAAACTAATTGGCTACACAGATAGTGACTGGGCAGGATTAGTAGACGACATGAAAAGCACGTCAGGATATGCTTTCACAATTGGATCAGGGATATTTTCTTGGGCATCAAGGAAACAAGCAACAGTTGCGCAATCATCAGCTGAAGCAGAGTATATTGCAGCAGCAATGACAACAAGCCAAGCGATATGGCTAAAAAGAATACATGAAGACATGGGAGAATCACAAGTGGAAACTACAGAAATCTACTGCGATAGTAGATCAAACTATAGCAATGGCAAAGAATCTCGTATTTCACAACAAAACCAAGCATATAGGCATCAAGTATCACTTCATCAGAGAAGCTGAAGCAAACAAATAAATAGAATTCAAACACTGCAAGACTGAAGAGCAATTAGCAGACATATTTACAAAGGCACTACCAAAAGGCAAGTTCAAACTATTACGAGACATGATTGGAGTTACTGAAATGTGCACCAAGGAGGAATAATAGAAGTTGCTACACATTTCTAGAATACTTTACTCTAGAACTTCCTATTTATACTTGAGAAGCAAGTAAATTTGTCTGGTCAAAATTCTTTTAGTAAAAGAAGGATCTAGAACAAAAAATATTAACCACAAATGTAAAGTCGGTTTACCTTCCAACCACCGACTCTAGCTACTATAAATACAACCTCTTATATTGCAAATGAGCATGAGAGAAACAGAAGAAATACAGAATCTACTAGCATTCTCTCTCCTACTTCCTATCATATACTCTAGTCTTCTATACCATCAGCATACCAACACGAACGATGGAAGAGAAGATAAGAAACAGAAAATGAGCAGCCATGATCAAGACGTAGTTCTGTGTTATTATGATTTCATCTTAAAATGAATAGTTTTTGTAAGGCCTCAAGCTCAATAAAGCGTGTTAAAAAGTCATCAAAAGCACACAGTCACAGTTTATACCATTCAAATATGCAACTTTTGACTAACTTTTAACTCTGCAACTTGGAGAGGCCTCATCCCATGTATACGTACGGCATTATATATTTACTCACAATTGGTTCTGTAACTAAGTGGTCTTAGTATTCATAAATGGTGATTGATCATGAACTCTTTCAATAATATATAAGAGCGATAGCTTGTACAAAGACCAATTACATGCAGGGCCAACCCGAACTCTGCTACATAATTCTTCCCAGTAACCGGCCGGCCGGCTCCACCCAGAGAGAGATACGAACAGGAGAGAAGAAATCAACTTAATTAGCCCTGCCTACTTGCTGATGTTTGAGCTGCAGGAAGGGTTATAGGCGAAATTTTGGCACATAATTAAATAAAATTGCTCTCTCCACAAGGATGATTCCTGAGTCTACTTGAAAAGGTGTGAAAGGTTGAAGAGGATATCACGTGCTCATTGGATCACCCTTTAGTCATTCACAAGTTTGTGGGCTACCGCGCTTTAATCATTTGAAGCAGGAAATGAACTCTAATTGATGAGATTCTAAGCCACTATAATGCCAAACATTTTAGTATGCAAGGTGTTTAATTTCATTGCAAATCTCCACATCGGACAAGTAAACTGATAAAGATGCCAAATAATTTGATAGGAACGTCTTCGATTTGCCAGTTGTCCATACAAGGACTTTTCGTTGTTCTTTGAACTGTATACATTTTGGTACTTTCAACTTTCTGTCTGGACGTACGGGGTTAATGGGTGATAAGAAGGCCCATGGCCTAGCACGTAAGAGGGGTGCCCACCTAACATCTCCCCAAGTGGGAGAGTGCACATCATAATTTGTGGTAATGGGGAATGCGTTAGTATGGGTATGGCCCCTAGCCCCCTACCTATTTTTTAGATCGGTGGTTGCATACCAACTGAATCAAATCACCCATAGGTTGGTTATGTGAAGGTTTGTCCCAAAAATCAGAAGCCATTGCCTTTCAGCCCTCCCAAATTGGTAATAAAAAGTCACCATAGTCTATTAGTAGCACCCTAAAAATCACATCTACCCGTAAATTTAGCATCAATTCTTGGTCAGTCATTCTCCCCAAAATTTTTAAAAGCCACGCATTTTTTTTTTTTTTTTTTGGCTTTAGGTGAAGCACATATATCATATTTGGGCCTTAAAAAAAGTTTCGACAAAACACTTAGAAAAGTCATCTTCAATGATATGGCATCCAAGACCGAGTTGGAAAACCAAAGGTTTGGGTAGGGATCTACTACCAACCAAACCTCCTAAGTCCTAATACTATATCAACAACGTGTAATTGCAGCCGCACATAGGAACATCTCCCCTGTCATTCATGGGAAGATGTTCCTAATGTATGATTGCCAAGGTTTGTAAAACCAGATCCGATGGGGAATTGTTCTGGGTCCTGTTCTTGGGTCAAACTGTTCGACCGTCCAATATAAAAGGACGGTCCTTTATGACAAAAATAAATAAAAAAAACTTAAAAAATGGCTAAAAAACGTTCTCAAGTCGAACAATTCAACAATTTGATTATTCGAATCAGTAGTTCATTGACTAAATCAACGGTTTTTTGCCAAATAACAATTTCAAGGTAAAACGGAACCAGTCCCAATTTTTTCGATACAACCATTCGATCCGGTCTGGTTTTGAAAACATTGGTGGCTGCAATGGCCAGTTGGGACACGTTACGAGCACTTATCAATCATCATTTTGGAAATAGACAATCCTTCACTTCCTGTCATGACCTTTACACCGTGGTTCCTTGCTATTGCATCATGCACACTACTCATTACTCATTATCAGTGCTTTCAAAACCGGACTGGACCTAACGGTCAGACCGGAAAAATTGGGAACCAGCCATTCCATTTAATCCCAAAATCCCATTTAATCCCAAAATCGCTTTTGGTCAAAAACCATTGATTTGGACAGCAAACTATTGATCCAAGCAGTCAGACCATCGAACAATTTGACCCAGGAATGGTTTTTGGCCATTTTTGGGTTTTTTTATTTTTTCTATTAGAGCAAGCTATCCATTCGGACCGAACAATGCAGCCATTCAACCCAGGAATCAGACCCTTAACGATTCCCTGTCCAATCTGGTTTTAAAAACTTTGCTCATTATTCCTCAACACCTGACATTTTTTCTTCCTTTCTTTTTTTTTATTTTAATTTCTCATTCTTGGTGTGGTTAGGAAAGGCAATGCCGCAACGGACTAGTGCGACCCGTGTTGTAGAGGTGTAAAATGGGCCGTCTCGGGCCATGCCTCCCTCCCCTAGGATATTTTGGCGGTTGGCCCAGCTGACCCATGGCCCGAGCCCATGCTACGTGCTAGGCTGGTTTGTGGGCCAAGCCTTGGGTTAGGCCGAGTTGTGGACCGGGACAAATTTTATTTAAATAATTGAAAAAAAACTTAAAATTTTAATTTTATATGAATTTTGATGTATACAATTGCTCAATTGTTTATATAAATAAATTAGTATGATAAAATTGAAAATAATTATTTATTTTATTAATATATTATATATTATTACATAATTATGTTATATATATATATGAAAGCGGGCGTTTGATTGGAAAGTGACAACAAATATGAGTTAAAACTATTGATTGGTCAACAAATATGAAAGCGGGCGTTTGATTGGTCAAAAAACCCCTTCCGGTACGGCAGCTGCATAGATTTTCAATAGGAAAATTATTGTTTTGGGCTTTGAGCCGGTTGGGTGTTCAACCGTTCAACCTACTGAACGAGTTAAAACTCAGTTCAAAGTCTCAAAAACCACCCACACACCCGTAATTGGTAGAATATAAGAATGCTTAAGCAAGAAGTTTTACTTCTGCCTAAGAATTTCTTCTAGACTTCAAATCTTGAGTTAGACCATGTACCCCTAGCTTTCTCCTGCACTGTCTCCATTGCAATAAACGTCTTCTTTGTGGCCTTTAGGTTCTCATGTCTTTCTTGATAAGTTTACGTTCTCATGTCTTAGTCTGTAATATAGTGATGTTCTCACGTCTTAGTCTGTATAGTGAGTCTCATCATCAGAATAGGTAGAACTTATTCAAGTAATGATAGAACTGTATATACATGCATTACCAAAAGATGAACTACCCATACTTCTTCAGAAATAAGTTTACATGGTACTATCCAAAAATGACAAAAAAGAAACACCTAGACGTCTACATAGAAGCTGGTAATATCCATGATGCCGGAAATATCAGGTGGGAGTATCAGGTAACACAAAGGACGGACTTGGGGCCGGAGGAACAGATATATCTTCAATGATGCTTTCCAGCATGAGTATTACGTTCTTCATTGAAGGACGCAGAACAGGTTCATCTTGTATACACCATAACCCCACCTTAACCATCCTCTCTAACATCTTCATGTCAACTTCTTCATCAGGAACAAGTTTATCCAACTGTCTCTCCACAAAGCAGTTATAAACCCAGTTGGAAAGAATAATCTGTTCCGGTGAGGATGCACCAAACTCCATACATTTTCGGCAACAAACAATCTCCAATAACATGATCCCGAAGCTATACACATCAGTCTTCACTGTTATGGGTGTGTTCCTCTGCCATTCCGGTGCCAAGTACCCTCTGGTCCCTCTCACCTGAGTGAAGGTTCTGGTCTGGTCTGGCATCAACAATTTGGCCAACCCAAAATCAGATATCTTAGCAGTCCAAAAATCATCCATCAGTATGTTTTGAGGCTTTATATCGCAATGGATTATAGGGGCCTCGCACTCTTCATGCAAATAGTGGATCCCTTTAGCTATATCCAATGCAATTCCCACTTTTTCATTCCAGTAAGGATGCTGTTTAGCCTGGAATAGAAGATCTGCCAGTGATCCATTACTCATGTACTCATAAACCAGAAGCCTGTTTGAGTCTTCGGCGCAGTAGCCAAGCAATCGAACCAAATTTCGATGATGGGTTCTTCCAATTGCTCTCATCTCAGCCCGAAACTCCCGTTCTCCTTCTTCCATCATTTTCTCCAATCTCTTTACAGCGATAATTTTCTTACCTTTGTGAATACTCCCCTTGTACACAGCACCAAATGATCCCCTTCCCAACTCCTCCTTGAACCCATCGGTTGCTTTCTGGAGCTCATCGTAAGAAAACAACCGTAAGGTTAATTCCTCGTTCGGCCATAATTTCCCCATTTCTGCCATTAATCTATACCCCAGAGCACGCTGTCTATATATAAAGAATGCAGCTATTGCAAGGGAAACAAAAGAGCAAGTCAAGAAAATTAGGATTGCAACAACAATCAGGACTGTTGCACCGTTGTTGCCAGTTTCAAGGTTTGCAATAGGGGTGGTTCTAACCTTAATGAATGCTGTGGTTGACTCATTAAGCTGTTCTCGTCTGACAAATCTAAGTGGAACTTCTTGTTTTTGGCAGTTTCCATCCTTAAATAGAGCAGCACCACAATAACAGTCTTCTAAACAAGACTTGCTGCAATCTTCTTTTGTCAAAGATGCATAGAAATAAGGGTTGTCTTCTCCCCACAATAGATTATCCATGGTTATAATTTCGTAGAACGCAGTTATTTTCCTCTCCCTGCCTCTGCAACATCCTTGAGTGAAGTTCCTTTGGCAGCCTTCAAACATCTGAGTGGGGTAAATGAAATCAAACCCAGGAAGACATTTGCAAACAGGTTCCATGCCTACCATCTTGCAGTAGCTGTTGAAGCCGCACAGACCTTTCACTTGACATTTTTTGTCCTTGCTCAGTGCCTCCCAGACAGTAGACACCGAGGTAAATACATTGTTTCCGTCCAAGCTGTGGGAATACAACCGGAAAATGCCATCATTGTCAAGTTTTGCTCGGAAAATGGCCGTTCCATTGGTGACAGAGGACGAGCCGTTTCCGACTCTCCATGCCTCATAACCGCTGTTGTTGCCGATAGATAGATAGCCAGTACTATTAAGATATAATTGTACGTTGGAACCTTGTACTCCGTTGGTTCCGGAAGCCCAGTAAGGATTGTCGTCGTCCTTAGGTCCAAGAACAAGGTTCCCGTCTTTCTGCATCCCAAGACGAAACCTTCCAGTCGAGTAATCTGTGTCTGAAACACTAGACAACAATTGACTCCCCATTGGAAAATATTGTCCTCCCAATAAGGTGTTGGTCGGAAACCTGAAACTTTCCCAAAGGACAGTGAAGTTGGCACTAAAGAGCACAAAATTACCGGAGTCGAGCATGGCTGCAAAGGAAACAGAGTCCGACACATTAGAAATGCGTCTCTCTTCGCCTTGTCCAGTTAGAAGAAGCAGCCCAGCATTCGTTGTTAACTGCAAAGAAGCATTTGGGGAGACTGGTGGGTCATCTCGGTTGGCTGTCCACACTACTGTATTTTCCGGTCTTCCAACCAACCAAACTGCAACCACAAAACCATTGCGTTGGGGGTGGAATCCAAGCGCAAAATGGCCTGAATGTGAGAGCCAAGGAGTGGACTGAGTGTTGGGCGAGAGCGAAGAGCCCAAGTATATCAGCTTAGTTTCTTTGGGTTGAGCTTCTACAACTACAATAATTGTAACGAGTAGAGGAAGAAGCAGAAACGGTACGAGTATTACAGGGAGCCACGCCATTTTAGAAAGACAAGAGAGCTCTGTCTTTCCAGTTATGTGATAATATCCTAAAATGTTATGTCTCTTCTCATCGAGAGCCCGAAGACGACGTATGACAAACGACAGTAGTAGGTCTTCTGGTCTTGTAGCCAACGTATGACGAACGGGCAGTTGTTGGGTCCTCGTCTTGTGATGAAAAGAAAACTCAAAACTGGTCAAATTTGGCCCGGAAAATTTTTCAATAAGATACGATTGATCGGAGGTCTGGACCCAACCATCTATGTAGGCGTGGCCTTACACATGGGTGCCATGACTTTGCTACAAAGTTGATAGGTACTCCTTCAAACCCCCAAATTACATTTGTACAAGTGTCACCCTTTGACAAATTGTCTTCATATTTTTTCTTGTTTTCTTTTTACTTTTTTGCAATTCTATATCCAAATGGTCCTCCTATTTAAGAGCCCGTGTCGGAAGGAAAGAGCTGAAGATTGAATTTGGTATTGAATAATGACTACTCGCTTTTGCCTCACTAGGTCGGAATTCAATTCTCCTTGGCAAACGGCATTTTTTCAAAAAACATTAATAACTCTTCTTAAAGTGATGAGAGTCAAGAGCAGAGCTCTAAACCGCATCTCATCTGGGCTACCCAGTTTACAAGCCTGCCGAGTGAGCCACCACTCAGCTAGGCTGGTTTAGCTGTTTTGAAGTGTTTTTTCTTTTAAATAAGGATGCATTATATTCTAACAAAATAAGGGTGCATTAGTTCTTATATGTATTTACACCTTCAAAAAGAAAAGAAAAAAAAAAAAAACTTATTTATAATCAAATTGAAGAAAGTATTTACTAATTTGGGATATCTCCACTTTTTAAGAACAAATACGTAAATCTTCAAATTTCACATCGAACCATTAAAAATTAATTAATTGCCTAGGAAACATTATTTTCTGCTGCAGGTTAACATTATTTTCATATAAATAACTAATACACACACATTGCTTCTTTTTTCTTTTTCTTTTTTATTTTCTGCTGCAGGTTAACATACAAAACTTAGTACCCAAGGAGAGAAAAGGATAACAGATCAAGAATTAACAAAAGAGAGACATGGAGATGGAGGGATGCTTGTATCCACGATCCCTTCTATCATCAATATCACAGTCTTCATTGAAGGACGATGAGCAGGTTCATCTTGAATACACCAAAGTGCAATCTTAACCATCCTCTCCAGTGCTTTCATATCTACCTCTTCATAACCCACAAGCTTATCCAGCTCTCCGGCCACAAAGCAATTATAAACCCAACTAGAAAGAATAATCTCATCTGCTGACGATACATTAACCTCCATGTTGCTTCTGCAGCATACAATCTCCAACAGCACGATTCCGAAACTGTAAACATCGGCCTTCACTGTTATTGGGACATTCTTCTGCCACTCAGGTGCTACGTAACCTCCCGTTCCTCTGAAACCTGTAAAGGTTCTTGTTTGATTTGGCATCAGCAGCTTTGCTAACCCGAAGTCCGAGATCTTAGCAGTCCAAAACTCATCCATCAGTACATTCTGAGGCTTTATATCACAGTGGATGATACGAGTCTCGCATTCTTCATGTAGGTAGAGAATTCCTCTGGCTATGTCTAGTGCGATTCTTATCCTTTCTCTCCAAATGGGTCGTCCTTCGGCATTGAAGAGAATTTGCGCAAGTGAGCCGCTACTCATGTATTCATAAACCAGAAGCCTCTTAGAGCCTTCAATGCAGAATCCAAGCAGTCTGATCAAGTTCTTATGGTGTGTTCTTCCTATTGCACTCATCTCTGCTTTAAACTCCCTCTCTCCTTCATCAATCTTCTCCAGTCTCTTAACAGCGACGATTCGGTTATCTTGTGATAAGACGCCTCTATAAACTGCTCCTAAAGAGCCTCTACCCAACTCCTCCTTGAAGCCATTAGTTGCCTTCTCCAATTCTTCATAAGTAAACAGCCGCAGCGTAAACTCTTCACTCAGACCCATGTTGCCATTTTGTAGCAACCTTGTATACTGTACTTTTCGTCGTCTGTAAATAAGGGAACTGGAGATCGCAATGGCAGCAAACAAGCATGTGAGAGAACCTAAACTTACCGTAACGATTAGAACCAGTCTTTTATTTCCATCTGATTCTGAGGTTCTGTTTCTGCTCTGGATGAATCCGGAGCTCACCTTGAAGAAAACTGTGCTGGACACATTTGGGTTCATTTTCAAATACCTCAAAGGAAGCTTCTGTTTCTTACAACTATCAATCTGAAACTGCGCTGCCGCACAATTACGATCATCTAAACATGACTTCTCGCAATCTTCTCTATCCTTAAACTCTGTTGAAAAAGGATGGTCCACCAAAATCAAATTCTCCACACTAATAATCTTATACTGAACCACTGTGTCTTTCAAGTCTAGGCAACCTTCTTCAGTGAAATTCCTCTCACAGCCCCGGAACCTCCGATTGGGGTCGATAAAATCAAACCCAGGAAGGCATACGCAATCATGTTTTGTGCCCACAAGGGAGCAGTAGCTATTGAAGCCACATACGCCCTTGACTTCACATGGGTCATGCAAAGCTGACCACCTTATCGTTGTATTGGCTCTACTGCCATTACCGCCGAAGTTGTGAGAATACCTCCGAAAGATCCCATCGGGATCAAGTGTTGCACGAAAGATGGTCCCGTTCCTACCGGCCGATGGGGACGACGAAGCATTGAAATCTGATATGCTTCCGAGCATTAGAGTGCCATTAGGATAAAGATACAAGCTGTGATTGTAATTGTATGCAAAAGTACCGGTAGCCCAATAAGCATCAATGGGTTTGGTAGTGTTTACTGGGTAAGCAACAAGGTTTCCATCTTCCTGCATTATGAGATAAAACCTACCACTCGAGTGGTCAGTTTCCGATTCACTGGAAACCAATTTATTCCGCGACATCAGAATCTGACCACCCAATATGGTGTCAGTTGGGCTATCAAAGCTCTCCCAGATAATTTCTGAAGAATTGTTGTAGTCGTAGAGCACAAAATTCCCAGAATCTAGCATTGAGGCAAAGGAAGCGGGTTTGGAGGCATTGATGATGTGGGTCGTCTCCTCACCCTGACCGGTTCGGAGAACAAGCCACCCGTCCGTAGTAAGGTTCAGAGTAGCATCCGAGGAAACCGGTTGATCGTCTCTTTTTGCCGTCCAGACCACCGTGTTTACGGGGTCTTCCACCAACCAAATTCCGACGGAGAAGCCATTGCCTTGTTGGTAGAAGCCGAATGCAAAGCGACCGGAAGGTGAGGACCACGAGCTGGGTTGAATGGTTGGCGAGAGCGACGAGCCCAACTTTATCAAATTTGGGTTTTCATCTTGAACTCCTACAACAGCAGAAGATACTGAAAGTAGTAGAGATAGAACAAGAATCGTAGACGCCATTAGAGACGATACAAATGAATTATTTCGAGCTTTACATTATTTTTAGTACTGCAGAGCGTTGCAATTATCTGTAAGCCCAAGGTCGTTCTCATAGTCAACCTGTCGCAGGGTCCTGGTCCTGGTCATACAAATGGAGGGGACCATTGCTTGACTCTCTGTTTCAAGTCCACGAAAACAATTTTCTACATGATGGAACCCTACATAACTTGATGGATAGCTACTCAATATAATTGAGGCCATAGATGGGGATCAGTTTCCAATCGCCAGGGTGTAAATTAAGAAGAGTTCACTTTCAACTTTTGAAAAATCAAGCAAAAGAATCCAAAGTCATTGAGCAACAAAGTCCAATTCTCTTGGGATTCTTTTGCTTGATTTTTCAAAAGTTGAAAGTGAACTCTTCTTAATTTACACCCTGGCGATTGGAAACTGATCCCCATCTATGGCCTCAATTATATTGAGTAGCTATCCATCAAGTTATGTAGGGTTCCATCATGTAGAAAATTGTTTTCGTGGACTTGAAACAGAGAGTCAAGCAATGGTCCCCTCCATTTGTATGACAAAAGTAAGCTTCAAATCACAGATATTAAACATGATAGTCATTAGTCATCGTAGTCTAGTTTTAATGTCTTCATTTTTTCATACAATTAGCGATCAACTCCCATCCCTCAATCTAAGATTTTTTTCTTCTATGGCTAGTTTGGAAAGAGCACAAATACAGATATGTACAGTACCAAATATTAAGTTTTGCACTCTATTTGTACTGCTTCCAAACTGAAACTAAATATCTCGATTTTGGACCAAAGAACTCACCGGTTTCAGTGGAATTCAAAATTCTGTGGAATGCAATCTAAATCCAAAAAAAAAGGGAAAATGACTGTTCAGCCCATCCCAGAATTTTTAGTTCCAACACACATATATATATATATACACATGAGGATATCTATATAAATACACCACCTAGCAATTTCCATGAGAGTACATTCCTTTGAAAGTGAATTCAGGAGACTTTGAAAAGAAAAATTTTATGTACATGCCAATTAATGAAGAAATGTTTGAAGAAAATAGAAGATCTAACAAAAGGTCATAAAATATCAATAAACTGTAGTTTAATTTTCTAGTGTTTAGGTAATTAATATTTTTATTAAAATAAAATCCAAAGAAAAAAATATCACCTAATTTTCATAATAGATTAACCTTAGTTTTATAATTGTAGTGGTGGTATACAATCTACTATAAAATCAAAATAAAAGATAAAAAGTAAAAAACACGAGTGAAAAGCAGTCAGATCTCCTACACAGAAGCACCCTACCCACATATATGACATCCCAACCGCACATCTGGAACATTATCCTGTCTTTGTATATTATCATGCATGGACATTCCTGATGCATGACTCTAGTGTTTTGTGGGTAGGTGTGGATGGAGTTCTTGGTGGGCTTGAATTGAAAAATTTAGGCTTTTACCTTGATATTGTTACAGGCCTGTCTTGGGATTGGGCTTTAAAACCTGACCTAACCCATAAACTTATACCTCTGCTACTTTATTACATGGAGTTAATAGGTCTAAATGATGTGAGAGAGAAAAAGGGGTTTCATAAAGGAAGGGAGAGAATACAAATAGTCAAATATTGACAATTTGGGAAAGTCATGATGGATTTTATTGCGGATAGAATTAAGAGTTAAAAGGGGATTTTTTTGTGATTTTTATTTTTAATTTTAAAATAAAAAAGCCATATGTGTTGATTTGGGGATGAACAAGTCAAGGTTTTAAAAACAGGATCAGACATATGGAACCGTTTTGGACATGGTTTTCAAAACTGGACCAGACCTAATGGTCAGGCCGGAAAAACTGGGAACCGGTCAAGTGACTGGTTTCAGTTTTCTCCAAAACTAGAAATTTTCCCAAAACCATTGATTTTGTTCAGCAAACTGCTGACTCGGGAGGTTAATCATTCGAATGGTTTTAATCGATTTTTATTTTTTATTTTTTTATTTTTTGTCAAAATGGGCTGAATGTTCAGTTCAAACGATTAGATAGTTCGATCTGGTAACCGGACCCTTGACTGTTTTGGTCTCCAGATCGTTTTTAGAAACCACGGCTTTGGAGACTGGCTCTCGGTCGAACAGTTTGACTGTGCGGTTAGAATAAACAGCTTGTTCTGATTAAAAAATAATTAAAATTAAAAAATAGCCAAAAACCGTTATTCAGATCAATGGTCAGCAGGACCCTGACCAAATCAACAGTTTTTTGCCCAAGAATGGTTTTAGGGTGAAACAAAACTAATTGCCTAACCATTCCTAGATCAACCGGTCCAACCATCCAGTATGGTCTGGTTTTCAAAACCATGGAACAAGTAATCCCACTGGATCGGGTTTATAGGTCTTATGAAACCTCCGAGTTAGGCAAACTAGTGGTGGCCCCGTTTGACATCATTTCACGGGAACATTTCGGGTGTTCTGGATGCTTCCGTGGAGCAGAAACTTGTTTGGAAAGGAATAACAAGAAGAAACATTCTGTTCTAAATTGAAAACAGCCCTGCAGAAACGCATCTGTAGTATCTATAAGAGTATGAATAGATGTGATTGACTTCTGAAATTTTCACTAGACTTAAATGCCTCGTCTCTAAGGTTTGAATTGAAGAAGAACCAATGGTAAAAATATAATTTTGCTTTTTCATTTAATGCTTATTAGAAAATGATTTGTCTTTCTCATTTAATGCTTATCACCTATATTAAAAATGACAGTTTTACTCTTTAGGTTTCCTTAATGATCAAATTTTACCTTTCCACTCTTTACCCCCCATAAATTCATTCCTCCATCTTCCATATCCATATACTTATCAACATACTTATAGTTATATTGAAAATGACAATTTCATCCATTCCATGTGCGTTTTCATCCATCATTTCCAATTTGATTCCTGTCTTCTTTCATTTCTTAAGTAACCACTACTTGTCTCATTAATCTACTACTAATAATCTAAGTGATCACTGGTCAATGACTGGGGATCTACACAATTTATTGTGGCTGTTCAAAAATGGGCCAGATTTGTACTATGAACAGACATCAGAGCCCAAAACTTCCTGTGCTTGAGTGCCTATCTACCAATTGTGACTTCGAAGTTAGAATTGGGTTGAGACGGACTTGGTTGAACTTAAACAGAATGGTTAAGTTTATAAAAAAAATTATGAATATATTTTTGTATATCCATCTTTTGTTGAGCTTTATAGTTCAATTTAGGAATTGAATTGATTAAAAATATGCACAAAGTCAAACCCAAATTTAGATCAGGCCCAAGTTTTCTGGCCTAGATAAAACCCACAGCCCAAAAACTCAGCCCTGACTCATGCAAAAATTAGAATTGGATGTGGTTAGGCCGCCCAAGTTGTAGCACTAACCGGGACAAAATATAGTTTGATTTGAGTTGAATCAATTAAGTGCAACACTGTAAAAAAAGGTGCAACCACATTTGGGTGAATAAGTACATATTTCTATAAATATCCCAACCTGTTGTTTTATATGAATAAGAGAGATTGAAACTCAAGGTTAATCGTGTATAGCAGCAAAATAGGACAACTTGTTTTGCCCATTTTCTCCTGGTTCAGTTTTGAAGGAATACAAATACAAATTTGTAGAGTGTAAAACCTTGTATTTTATATGTATTTATATTATACGCATTTGTATTTGTTCCAAATTAAGATGGAACAATGAGTATTTATTGGAAATCATAAGAGCATTTTCTAAAAATTTTTCATAATAAAACCTAGATATCAAAATGTATGTATGTATATATGTATATAATAAAGAAAATTTACTACCCACTCTATTCAGGGTGTCAAACAGTTAGGTTCGGACTAGATACATTCAAACTAAATCCAAAGCTGTGTATATGTGAAAATTGACAAAAATCCTATAGGGTAACAAGGACTCCAAAATTTGTGGATCTGGCCATAATAATTGGACCCGGCCACCCAGGTATGTCAGGTAGCCGTCTTCAGATACTAGACGTTTTGGTAACAGCTTTGTTAATGCACCATAGTCACAATGCAATTCAAATTACGATAGTAACAACTGTTGTGACGAGTTTTGGGCCCTGTTTAGTTTATTGGAATAGGGCTCTAGAATCAGGAATGGGTTATTCTAATTTCATCTGTTGGTTGGGTAGAATTGGCATCCCAATCATATTCTTAATGGAATAGCATTTCCCCATTTGAGGGAATGGCCATTCCCTGCCCCTTTTTTGGGAATGAAATGCCATTCTTACTGGTTCCAATTCTCATTCTCATTCCTGTCTGAACCAAACAGACTATGAGAATGGACCATTCCAATTTCGATTCTAAAAGATTTTAATTCCGATTCAAATTACAAACCAAACAGATCCTTAATTTCCTTCTATGTCATATGTGGGTCTCATTCGAATAACACTTGATTTTTTTTTTTAAACCCTTTAGGATAACACATTTTTTTATTCAACCTGATATTATAAAAGAAATAAACTACAAAACAGAAATAGATTGACACCTACGCCATTGAGGCGGACCCAAGATGTCCTCTCTCATAAGCAAGAGCACTTGTTAGGGAGCACTACTTACATAATTTCGTACGAAGCTTGCTTTTAAAATTCCAAATAAACTAATACATATTCATGCGTCCATATATCCATAGTTTGGCACTCCCTTATTTGTCACCAATCATCACATTTTACACTTCTTAAAAAATAGGGTTGTCAATGGTATGGATCAAATTCGAATTGTAGCAAGCAATATCTAAATTCGAATTCAATTAGAAACTTCAATATCTACATTTGATTTGGCATCTAACATATATTAAAAATCGATGTTCGAATTTGAATTCGATTAAATATTTGAATAATTTATTTAATTTATATTTGATTGATTAATTATTTTAGGTATATAATTAATAAATATTTTATTGATATAAAGTATATAAATTATATAATCTAAATATTATATATATATATATTATATAAAATGTTTAAG